ACCAGTCCCACCATCTCCCTCCCTGCGCTACCTGCATGTGATTGGCAGGTGGGTGGCGAAGGCGGCTGTGGGACCAGGTACTGAGCCACTTCCTGGCGGGGGGCGCTTGTTTGTTCCAGGGCCACCTGCATCATCCGCCTGGGGACCGTGGGACAGCGAGACAGAAGCCATCTGTCCTTGGTTTTGCTCTGCTCCCCGCCCCAATCAGTTCTCTTTCCTTTCCGCAGGCAGCTCTGCAGACCTGAGAAGCAAGACCAGATGCAGAAGTGCCACTCCCTCTCCTCCCCGCCGTCTCAGTGCCCCCCCCCCCGAATCTAAAACAGAACAACAGCCTGGCACAACTGACTCCGCTTCCAAAAGGGCTGACTGGGAAGAGCAGAAGCCAGGCACCAGAATTGGCCCTGTTCCCGAAGGTGCGGCGGGACCACAGGACAGGAGGGCAGGGTCACTGCTGGGGCTCAATCACAAGGCTCCGTGCAGAAGGGCTGGCACACCGGGGCCCGGCCTCCAGGGTCAGAACTCGCTAGACCAGGGCCTGAGAAACAGGGTAAGGGTAGAGCACACGTGCAAGGGAAACAACGCCCCCCACCCCACCCACAGCCCCCAGGTTCTTTTTTTCTTCTTTTTGGGTCACACCCGGCGATGCACAGGGGTTACTCCTGGCTCTGCACTCAGGACTTACTCCTGGCAGTGCTCAGGGGACCATATGGGATGCTGGGAATCGAACCCGGGTTGGCCGCGTGCAAGGCAAACGCCCTGCCCACTGTGCTATCTCTCCAGCCCCAAGCCCCCAGGTTCTATCCCCGCCCCATATGCTTTGCAGATGTAAGAGGCTCAGGTCGCATCTTTGGCACAGCCCGATCCCTGATCCCAACTGGGTATGTGCTGCCAAGCTGAACAATCAGGAAGATGAGAAAAGATGAGCTGGAGAGCTAGCACAGCGGGAAGGGCATTTCCCCTGCTCATGGCTGACCAGGATCAAATCCCTGGAGTTCCCCAAGCATCTCGAAGAGAGGAGTGATCTCCGAGTACACAGCACCGGGGTGACAAAACCCCATGCTCCTGTGTGCCTAGGGGCTTCACTGGCCTCAGAGGACTCAAGTGGTGCAAGTCATAGAATCAGGTTTGGTAACCGGCAAGTGCCTTCACTCCATACTATCCCTCCGGTTCTTTATAAAGTATGTTTTGGTTTTGAGCCATACCCAGAGGTGCTCAGGGGCTTGGGGGCCTCTATGAGGTGCCAGGGGCTTGAACCTGGATCGTCTGTGCAAGCAAGAGCCTCATCTGCTGTACTATCACTCCAATTCTTATTTTTCTTGTTTCTATTGGGGCCACACCCAGCAGTGATCACGGATGGAACCCCAGTGGCCACCGCATGCCACTCAGCGCTCTGGTTTTGTTCATGAATTCTGTCCAGGCCCAGAGGGATGGTGGCTCCCCATTAGAAGGCCTGGGGAGGGAATGCAGGAAGGGGCGTGCACACGAGTGGGAGCTTTGGGATGACTCCAGCTCCCAGCCTGGCCCCCCCGTGCTCCCTTGAAGTAGCGTTACCATGTTACCTCCAGCTTGGTCCACGTAACCGGAACTGGCCATCCTGGAGTGTGAGCGTCAGGGAGGGTCATACCGGGGCACGAAACCCAGTAGGCAGGCTGGACTGGGGCCAGGTTCTGGGTTCTGTGTCACGTAGCCCCGATGGGGAGGCTGCCCGAACCACAGTAAGCAAAACACAAGCCAAAGGAACCCCGACAGCTTCTCTGGGGGTGGGGTAAGGCTTGCGAGGTCCTAGCAGCTATGGGTGGCCATGGGCCCTCAAGCTCTGGCTGTCCCTGAAGAGGCTCAGTGCGGTCCCCAGTGCTACAGTGTGTGGTCACCTCAGTGCTGGCCACCAGCAGCTCCTTCCCGCACAGCAGCAGGAATGTGTGAGCCTGGCGAGTGAATGGAGCCCTGGTGAGGACGCAGGCCACAGTGGTGGCAGGACGGGAAGGGGAGATGAAAAGAATCACTCGAACGTGCGGCCAAACCAATAGGAAGGCGGACAGGATGCTTGCCTTACACGCGGCTGACCCAGGTTTGATCCCCGGTACAGAGTCCCCTGAGCACTGTCAGGAGTAATTCCTGAGCACAGAACCAGGAGCAACCCCTGAGCACTACTGGATGTGGCTCCCACACCAAAACATATTTCAACAAAGGAAGTTACTGGGTGGGCTCTGTGCTCTGAGGATGGGGCCCAGGAACCTTGGAAAGAGAGAGGCGACTTGAGCAGAGAGGGGAATGACTTGGGGTCTCGTTGGGGTGGGGAGGACAGGACCGGCTCCACCCCCATCCTGTGAGGCCCAAAATGTCTCGTCACTGCGGGCCCAAACCTGACTGTCCAGTGGCCCCTGAAGGATGGCGGCCACCGGGCCGCCAGGGGGTACAGGCCAAGGCACGAAACCTATTCTCACCTGGGTTGGCCCAGCACCGGTAACCTACTGCAGGGATTGGACGCATTTCTGCCAAAAGCCGCTGGTTTTCGAGATTTGTTTCTGGGTCTCTGGGATCATGGCCGTTAAGCAGTTCAATCAGGAACCAGAGAGGCCATGCCTCCAATTATATAGCTGAGCCGGAGGTGGTTTGTGGGTGTGTCTCCCACATACCCAACTTTTGGCTATTTACTTTCTTGATAAACTTTGCCCTAAGTTTTTGGGATTTGGCCAAAGGCACAGCAGCAATTTTGGGGTATATGGAAGTCTGAAGGCGCCATCAGGCTGCTGATGCACTCGCCTTACAGGTACAGATTGACCTGCTGGCGGCACCATATCCCCTTGAGCAGAGAGGGGAAATAGCCAGTTCTGGCCACCGAGGGCTTCGTGTTCTAGCCTCAGTGCTTTCGGGTGGAAAGTGACGGAAAGTGGACGGCGCGGGAGGCCACGGAGTGCAGAGTCTAGCTGCCCCGGAGGCGCAAACACTCAGGGTCGACACTACAAGACGCAGGATGCGAGGCATGCTGGCGCCCCAGAGGAGACAATGGCGAGCTGGTGCTCTTCCATCAGCTAAGCCGCAGCAGTCTGCATGACCGTCCCTGCAGAGACACTGTAAGGGGACAGAATGGGACAGGTCACAGCACGAAACCAGGAAGACCGAGGAAACAGGGCACAAGCCTGTCATGCGAAGTCGGGGTTCGATCTCCAGCACCAAGCTGGGAGGAATCCTGGGTGTGGTTCAGGTGTGGCTCCTCAACCAACCAACCAACCAACCAACCAACCAACCAACCAGCCAGCCAGCCAAGAAGAGGGACTGGGAAAGAAGGAACAAATTAAACCCCAAATCAGTTGGCTCAGGGGCAGCAGAGATATGTAGAGCGGGGAGGGTGTCTGCCTTGCACGCAGCTGACCTGGGTTGCATCCCCAGCACCCCATATGGTCCCCCAAGTCCGCCAGGAGTGATCCATGAGAGGACAGCCAGGAGTTAGCCCTGAGCATCGCTGGCTGTGCCCCCTCCCCCAAAAAACGTTGGATTCAATACAGGCAAAAACAAAGAAACAACGGAGACAGTAAGAAATCCCAAACCCGGTTCTTTGAAATGGCCAGTACCATGACTGCACATCTAGCCTGGGTGATCCAGAATGAGGCTAAGAGGTGGGACATTCCGACAGGCGGGCAGGCGGCTTAGTCACTTTATGCCACTCAGAGGAAACTGAAAAATGGGCATAAGAAGCAAACTGAACGGCTGGACGCAGAGACAAGGCCTGCGGGGTCAGGGCAACACGTGAGGCTCCAGGTCTGATTCCTGGCACCGCCACCCTTGCCAAGTGCCATCCCAGGCTCCACCGCAGAGCATCCACTGGCCCAGAAACGAAAGGGAAAACGAAAGTGACGGGAAAAAAGAAAACGGAATCGTCACGAAAAACTTTCCCGCCAAGAGCATTCCACTGGCCGATGTCCCCCGGGTGGCCACTCCACACAGAGTGAAGCTGGTGAGGAAGCTCCCAGCTTAGGGACGGAAGCGCCACTCCCTCACACAGACGCGGACACGCCCGACAGCCATGAGCAGAATCTGCAAATAAGAACAACGCACAATCACCTGACATGGTTTTCAATGGACTGCATTTTCAATGGTGTGGGGACATTCTGGTCCAAGCGGGCTGACATGCTGGACTCTGGAGATTCTTGGAATTTCTACGTCGTGCCAGGACACTAGCATGTCACACCTCATTTCTCCCAATGACCAGCTGAGGGCGGGCTGGCTGGTACCCACTGTGGGCTCTCAGTCCTCGCCACGCCCCACCCCGGCCCCTCCATGTGCATCTCCTGCTGCCTCAAATCCGCAATCGGTGTGGTTTAGCACATCAACAGGCCAATCCTTCAGGCGGGGGGCAAGAATGTCAGCACTAGCGTTTCTACTCAGTACTCTGAGGAAGGCCCTCGCCACTGCAATAAGGCGACAAAGAGGGCCAGGAGGCAAATGGCCTGGGGAACTGCATTTGCAAAATAAACGCGTCTAGGTTTAGACCGGCCCACCGAGTAACACCACAGAAGGCCAACAATTTACAGGGCTCAAGTGAGCTTCGAGGTACTAACAAGGAAAGTCAGGGAGTCAGTTCGAGGAACACAGCACACGCCCAGCACCGCCAGGAACAAAGAAAGATGACAAGGTAAAATAAACCATACGTCTCTAGCACATCCCAGGCCGGCACTGTGACCAGTCTGGTGTGTGTGGCAACTTCCTGTAAGAGGAAACAGCCCTGAGGATTTGGGGTGGGGATTCGTCCAGAGCCCTAGGTCAGGCTGGGAGAGCTTAGTGGGCTGAGTTGCAGGCTTTGCATGCAAGGGACCCGAGAATCCATCCCCAACACTGCTGAGAGAGAGCAACCCGAGCACAGAACCAGGAGCAGCTTGAAACCATGCACGCACGCCGCATGCACGCCCCTGGGGAAGCTTCAAGTTGACAAGGAACGCCACAAGTGCAGCCAGAGGTAGGATGTAAGTGTTTATTCCTCCCGACAACGGGGCCTGCCCTATGCCGGGCTCCACGGGCACCTGCTCAAGGCCATGGTCCCATTCCCTTTCTCCTGGAAACGCTTCCCCGCCCTCTCCACCTGCTCCCTCGCTCCTTCTCTCCTTCGCGGGTCTTCTCGCTGGATGCCAATCACTGGAGCTCAGGCCCCACCTGACAGGGAGGTGCTCCTCTGTTGGCATCAGTGCCGGGCCAGCCTCAGGGGAGCCCACCTGGTGTGGGGACATTCTGGTCCAAGCGGGCTGACATGCTGGACTCTGGAGATTCTTGGAATTTCTACGTCGTGCCAGGACACTAGCATGTCACACCTCATTTCTCCCAATGACCAGCTGAGGGCGGGCTGGCTGGTACCCACTGTGGGCTCTCAGTCCTCGCCACGCCCCACCCCGGCCCCTCCATGTGCATCTCCTGCAGGTGGCGACCCAGGCAGGACTTCAAGCAGTCGGTCGCCCTGTGTGCCCCCCAGGGCCGTGAGAACTGCCAATCATGAGAACTTTGACTTCCGGGTTTGGAGGCTCTGCCCAGCGGCCAGATCAGCTCTGGAACTCATCACTCTCCTCCGGCAGCTGGCTGCTCGGGTGCTCCAGGCACAGGCCTAGGGAAGGACAGGGAGGATGGCACCATGGGCTCCTAGGCCGCACCGGCTCGGGTGGGGCAGCTGGGTACCTGGCAGGGAAGTGGACGAGAGGAGCTGCAGGCTGTCCAGGATGCCGTCATTATACAGGGCCAGTTTGTGCAGCATCTTCTGCCGGGCGGGGTTGATGATGATCCGGGGTGGCTGGGAGGACGCGGAGCTGCCTGGGAGGGAGCCTGGGGGGAGGGCACCTCAGCTCAAGGGGGTTGCCCTCCCCACGCGCACCCGCAGCCTTCCTTGTTCCTGCTTCCAGGAAGTGGGCTCCTGACCTCCCCGCAGCCACCTGGGGTGCAGCTAGTGAGATGGCACAACCCCAGCGGCCCTGGGCACCCTTCCAAGGCTGGGCAAGTGGCCTGCCCGAGAATGTGGCCTTCAACTTCCTCAGGCCTCACGAGCTGGGGTGAGCGGCCCGAGGCTGCCCCGGCTACCTTCCACAGCTCTGATGGTGCCCCCTGGCGTCTGGCTGGCCGGCCTCGGGGTGACCGGGATGCAGGGGTCCGCTCCTGAGGCCGGGCTGTCTGAGCTGTCCTCGCTCTCCTCTGGCTGGTTGGGGCCCTTGTGGAGCGGCGCTGCGGCCGGACTCTGCCACAGCCCGGCACTGCTCAGGGCGCTGCCGTCGGTAGACACGTAGGAGTCCTCCTGGGGGGAAGGCGGGCCGCAGAGGGCAGCCTCCAGCGGCAGCGTTGCCTGCAGCTTCTCCAGCTGCTCATAGACCTTTGGGAGAGAAAGGGGCTCTGGCTGGGACCTCGCACCCCCGATGCTGCCACGTCACTCTGCCCAACCCACCAAAGTTCAGGCCCAAGAATGCTGGCTCGACCTTTAGTGTTTCTCGAGGTATGCTGAGGCAAGAGATGGGGGGGGATCCACGGGAATGGGGAGTGCGGGGGGCGGTGAGGGGGACCCAAGGATCCAGGCCGAGCAACACACACTTCGGAAGGGACTCTCGGGGGTACGGAGGATGCTTGCCTTGCATGCGGCCAGCCCGGGCTGGGTCCCGAGTAAGCCCTGAGCACCGTGGGCTGTGGGCCCCTCCTCCAGAAAGCCAAAAGCCAACATAATGGACTGCCACTGCGTGCTGCTGTCACCCTGCTTCTCGCAGTGGGCCCCTGCCCTGCAGATCCGCCTCCAGCAGGCTCACCTGGGTCATGGGCGGCCTCCTCTTGGCCCGGCGGTGCAGGCAGCAGCAGGCCAGCTGGCCGAGTGCCAAGCCCAGTTCGGGCGGGCACGGCCCTGGCCTGGGGTCCACGTGCTTGCTGTAGATCCGGGAGGCGACGGAGGCGGCCCAAGGGTCAGTGGCCGCGCCCACCTGCAGCGCGGTCTGGGGGCTGGAGAGGGCCACCCCGGCCTCCTCGGCCTCCTCCTCCACCAGGTCTTTCTGCGGGACAGAGCCGGGAGCGTGGTCCCGAGGTGCTGGTTGTCTGGCCAGGCCGGAGCCCCGAGGGGGTAGTCGGGGAGGGCCCTGGGAGGCCACGGCACCCCGCACCCACCCGGCCCATCACCTCGGGAGGCTCACCAGGTACTTGCAGCTGCTTCCCTGTGTGCTCACGGCCCTCTGGCCAGCCAGCGACTCCAGCACCACCTGCACAGAGGCTGCGTCGGAAGGTGCCCGGGCCCCCGGGGCGCGGCTGCCCTCCCACGTGCCCGCTCACCACGCCGAAGCTGAAGGTGTCCGTGTCCACAGCCAGGCGGCCAGTCTTCACGTAGTCCTCGGGGAGGTAGGCCAGGGTGCCGCGGACAGAGCGCGTACGGGCCACTGTGCTGCTCTGGCCGGGGGTGGCCGCTGCAAAGCGGCTGAGGCGGGCGAGGCCAAAGTCGCCCAGCTTGGGCCTCAGTCTGTCATCCAGGAGGACGTTGGAACTGCGAAAGGAAAGCCCACGGGTCAGCTCGCCCCGCCCTGACAGCTGTCACGGGCGGGAGCCCCCGCCCTCACCTCTTGACGTCTCCGTGGATGAGGCTGGGCCGGTCCTGATGCAGAAACTGAATGGCGCGGGCGGTCCCCAGAAGGATGCACAGGCGCTGGGGCCACGAGAGAGGGGGCCAGGCCCGGGTCTGCGGCGGCAGGGGGAGCAGCTGGAGCTCACCTCTCAGAGCCGAGGGGCCCGGGAAGGGAGGGGTGCTGCCCCATGGCCGTACCTGGCAGTGGAGTCGGTCCTCCAGGGAGCCGTTGGGCAGGAAGCCGTACACCAAGCAGTACAGGCCACCCTGGGCACAGTAGCCGGCAAAGTCCACAATGTTGGGGTGACGGAACCTGCTTCAAAATGCGGGGCCTCAGCGCGCCGCCGCTCAGCAGCCTGGCCGCGCGGCGGGGGCTCTGGGCTCACCGTGACAGCTGCTCCACCTCCGTCAGGAAGCTCTGCTTGACTGCGCCCCACTCCAGGTCAGCCTCCTGCACCCCCTCCCCAGGATACGGGGGGCAGTGAGGCTCCGCACTCGGGCCTCCTGCCCGGGCGCCCGCAGCACCCCCGGGGAGCACCCACCTCCTTCAGCCGCTTCACTGCATACAGCGTGTTCCGCAGCACCGCCCGGTACACGCACCCGAAGCCGCCCTCCCCGATCTTGACCTCGTCCGAGAAGTTGCGGGTGCCCTGGGAAATCTCCTGGACGGGCCAGCAGAAGGGGGAGGGCTGCGCCCCGGGCAGGACTGAGTCGGGCCTGTCTGGGCTGGGCTGGGGACGGAGACCCCGGAGTCAGGATGAGCCGGGGAAGGCCAGGGCTAGCTGGGGGTGCCCCCAGGCTTCCCACTCACCTCTGAGCTGCCCCAGGGGGCAGCGCCTACCCACCTTAGTGAGTGAAGGGGCTGGAGATGGTGAGGGGGGCGCCAGGCTGGGGCCGGGACCAGGCTCGGGCTCAGAGCAGGTTTGGGGGCCTGGAAGAGTTTCACAGAGAGACCAGTGCGGGTGGGGGCGGTTGGGCAAGAACAGGCACATCGCCACCCCGACCCCTGGCCCCTTACCTGGGGTCAGGAGCGTACAGGCGGGGGACAGCACCTTCTGGCTGTGGACCTCGGTCTCTGCCGGGCCACCGATGCCGGTGGGCGTGGGGACAGTGGAGCTGGGGGGCAGCAGGGGAGTCGGAGGGTGCCCTGGGACGGCAAGGAAGCAAGAGGAGGGTCAGGCACGGGCGGGGGGGGCAGGAGCCGCGGGGGCCCGGCCCCGGGCGTGTCGCTCACAGGCCGCGATGATGTCCCGCGCGCGCAGCAGCTGCAGGTGCGTGAGGATGCGCAGGAGGTCGGCCACGCGGGCGTTGCGGTTGATCCACGGCCACAGGACACTGGCCGTGCGCTGGCCCGAGCGCTCGCACAGGCGCAGCTCCGTCTGGTCGCGCACGATCAGGGCGGCTGCGGGGCGCGCGGGCGTCAGGTCTGGAGCCGCCGCGAGACCCCCGCCCCGCCCCGCGGCCCCCGCCACCCACCGAACTGGCACCAGTCGGCGGGCTCCAGGGCGTCCATCACTTTGTAGAAGCGGCACATGACCCAGGGCGGCACCTCGTACAAGAAGTGCTGGGCGCCGGGGGCATCCGGGGTCCCCGGGCCCGGGCCCCCAGCCATGGCCGCCGCCGCGCCACCGGCCCGGGGCCTGTCGGGGCCGCCCGGTCCGCAGACTCTGACTCACTTCCCCTTCGGGCCGGCCGCGTGCGACGCCCGCCGGGGCGGAAGGGGCGGTGCCCGCGGCCGCCGCGCCGCGCGGCCACACGGGGGCGCCGCGTTCCCGGCCTGTGCGCGGCCGCCGGCCCGGCGCCTTCCCGGAGGAGGGGCCGCGGCACGGTCCCGCCCCCCGCCCGCCCGCACGCACGCGTGGGTGGCCCTGGGGACGGGTGGGCAGCTCCGGTCGTCAGATGGGCGGCCTGGCGGGTTCGCGCCCTCGCGGCTTTTGCCCGCTCTCCTTGGGTCTCCGGCCTCTGCCTCGCATTCTCCCTCCCTCCCTGCGTGGGCCAGAGTCCCGCCCCCCCGTTTCCCGGAGGCAGCCAGCCCCCAATCCTGGCCCGTCGCTTCTGACCGCCCCCCTCCCCGCGGGCGTCTTCCAGCTCCCACCAAGCTTGCAGATCCAGGATTCTCGGTCCTCATCTGGCCGAAGGCGTGGGACCCCAAGCCGGCGTCCTTGGCACCCCCAAACCTGCTTCCTGCAGCAGCCTCCCCCCCCCCCGCCTGCCCTGTGCCTCAGGTACCCCAGTGTTTGAGTTTTCCAATTTAAAACTTTGGAGGAGGCTGATTTGGGCCACACCCGGCGGTGCTGGGGGTTTACTCCTGGCTCCGTGCTTAGGGATCATTCCTGGCGGTGCTCCAGGAAGTATATGGGACGCAGGAGATGAACACCCCCCCCCCAAGGCAAGTGCCCTCCTCGCCCCTCTCATTAAGAGCTTTGCAAGCCTTTTTTTTTTGATTTTTGGGTCACACCCGGCGATGCTCAGGGGTTCCTCCTCGCTCTGCACTCAGGAATCACTCCTGGCGGTGCTCGGGGGACCCTATGGGATGCTGGGAATCGAACCCAGGTCAGCCTCGTGCAGGGCAAACGCCCTACCCGCTGTGCTATTGCTCCAGCCCCTTTTCGAGCCTTTTCTTTTGGCTTTTTTGGGTTACACCCAGCGATGCTCAGGGGACCACATGGGATGCCGGGGATCGAACCAGGGTAGGCCGCGTGCAAGGCAAACGCCCTCCCCACTGTGGTATCACTCCGGGCCCACTTTTTAAGCTTTGAATCCCCGAATTGGCCTAGTTGGCTCCTTGGCCCTCGCAGATCAAGGCTGAGCTTGGAGCTCCCCAGGCGGGAAGCTTGCTCTCATCCGCCTCCCCCCACCCCCAGCCCCACCATACTTCCAGAGAGTAGCGTCCCCAGCTGAGCAGAGAGTTCTTCCCGGATCACCTGCCTCGCCCCCTGGACCCTCACACCAAGTCTGTTTGGGGCGAGGGTGTCCGCTGAGAAGGTCCTCCCGCCATCATGTCAAGACCCCCAGCCTACCCTCCCCAAGCCTGGCACAAAGACCCGATTAGGACACGGGTGGCATTTCATGCTCCCTTCGCGCTCAAGGCCAGGGCTTTAGAATGTGTCTGCATGTATGTGGGAAGCTGGGCTAAGCACCAGTGGCTGGGGGGGGGGGGGGGCAGGCGTGAGCAGGCCTGCAAACCCACAGGGACCGCAGCGCCTCCTTCAGGCAGTCCTCGCAGTTTGCACTCACCTGCCCCTCCATCACCTGCAGAGCAGGTGGCTCGTGACCATCCCGGGACAGCCCTCTCGGGCAGAGGGGGCACAGCACCAGGCTGTCCTGTGAGCTGTCTGATAATGAAAGCCCAGACCTTGAGTCACTTTCACAGAGAGATTTATCGAGAATGCTAACAGCACAGGATACAGTACTTCCCCACAAAGGTGCAAACGCGTCACTGAGAAAGGCATGCGGAGTATTCTTTGCTTTCACACGTATTAAAAACTTACAAAAATAAAAGGAAACTGCGTGCTGCCCATCTTTTCAAATAGGAAAAGAACCTTATGAAAAAAATCACTTGGTTTTACAACAAAAGACACAAACGGACATTTTTATGTAAATTTATAAGGCAAACTCTTTATATAATAAATAGGTTACAGGGTTCATTGGGGGTGTTTTTGAAACGTATACAGGTACATTCAGACAGGTTTACTGAAATGGTACAAATTTCCTTAATAAATTGCCTTTTGTTTTTAAATATATCAGTGCTTTCAGTCATTTGGCTATACACAAAGAACCTTTTTGAACACTACAAAAAAGCAATCAATATTTTTTGTTTTTAAAACGACCTACTAATTTTCTAAAGTAATTGTCCCAAAACACAAAAACTGAAGGTGAATGCGAATGAGGCTTTGGAGACGTCTCCAGCCCGCTCTTCCTTCCTACACCAGCACTGGCCTCGCCTGGCGGGGAGGGCGCCCCGCTGTCCCCTGTCCCCGCCCGGGCCCCGGGTTTCCCTCGGGGCAGGGCTTCTCTGGCAGGAGTCTGTCTCGGCCACGGGAAGGGGAAAAGGGCTTTTTCACACCAAGTCTGCTTGGGGCGAGGGTGTCCGCTGAGAAGGCCTCCCGCCATCATGTCATTGCCTGCGGGGCACAGCACGTCCGGCACGTGGGCCAGGGGACCGGATGGCGGCATTCCGGACAGTCCTGCTGCTGGCTGGCCTGTGAACGCGCAGTGACCTGTGGCTGCGGCCTGCTGCCCGCTGCCCGGCTCCTCCATCCCCCCGCACCCCAGAGGGAGGCTCCCGGCTCCCCTCACAGAACGGTCCCCTTGTCTGTCCTCGAACGTAACGATAATGGAATAATCTCGAGGGGGGGGAAGCAGAAGGATCCACTGGGTGGAACAAAACCTGGTTTGGCTCTGACTTCCGAAATGGCGACACACCAGCTATGTGGTCCACGGGCCTCGGCGGACTTCTTGGTGGGGGGGCGGGGTTGGCCCGGGGCGCTCCCCTCATCTCAGTCACTATCCCCTCGCTCTGAACTCTCGCTTGTAAAGAAAAGGTGTCTGGAAGCATTTGTCTCTGGAACAATTACTTTAAACATGATTACAATACAGACTTCAGTTCAAACACAGAAGAGATTTACTTCGCAAAAGCCCCTTTCACCCACCAAAATGACACGAATATAAGCCTCAACACCACAGGTAAGAGGACCGGGAGAAAGAACCTCGTGTTTGGAACACAAAAGGAGAAATGAAATCCAAACTCAACCCAAACAGGAAAACCCCAGAGAGACGAGGGCGAGGGGCGGGCGCAGAGCAAACACAGCACGCACGGGACACGGCCCGGGACGCAGAAGCCCAGCGCGAGCACGGCTGGGCACACAGTAAGTAACAGTCCTGGTGATATTTGGTCAAAGAGTCATCGACTGTGACTTGGGAACGCAGTCATTGATGGAAGCAGTGACAGATCAAACGGAAAGGAGGCCTTGGGACGAGGGAAGAGCTCTCACACCACCATCCGGCTCCCCAGAAAACACTGACGGGGCGTGCTTGTCCAGGGCTAGAGGTCACCGAGGGGCTCCGAGGGGCGGGCGAGGCCAACCCTCAGTGCAAAAGCACACACGTGGACACACCGGGCGGGGGGCAAACCTTAGGGGTCCTGCCCCCCGGGTTCGCAGGGGAAGGACCCGGTCAGCCACCACTAATACTGAGCACAGCTGTCCCCCGCCCCCACCTTGAAGGCCCCCATCATTCTCTTTTGGGGTCAGACCTCAGCAAAAGCAATGACACAGGGGGAGGAACGTTTGGCCCTGGCGATTATAATGCTCTCTGCTTTGGAAGAACGAGTTTCTGGGTTTTTTTTGGTGTTTTTGATTACCTACAAAATGATCAAAAGGAAGTGTTCCGGCTGAACTCTCTAGCAGATATTGCTCGTTAAGAATTACAAAAGCAAATGCAGTTACTTGGGGGCTGGGTGCGGGAGAGGAGGCCCACGGGAGTCGGTGTGGGGGCGAGTCCCGGGCACTTAACCTGGCACGGCTCCCTGCGTGAGCCCTGCCGGCGGGGAGGTCCACGTGGTCACCCTGCCCGGGCCACAGGGAGGGGACCAGGTGGTGCCGACACCCGGACTTGCTGAGCCCGGGAGCGTCCTGCTAAGCTGGAGCTGTCTCGAGCCTCCTGCCCCTGGGAATCGAGGAGAGCCCACAGAGCTGCTTGGACAGAAGAAGTGACCAGCAGACAGACTTGTCAGTTTTTTTCTTTTTTTCTTTATTTTCCCTTGTCCTATGCTATGGTTATCAGAAATATCGTAATTAAGCAACAGGTATAGTTTTAACAGGTCTGTTGTGTGGAACCACAAGCAAATGAGCTTATAATTGTGCAATATACAGATATATATATCAAAATTCCACTGCGTTGTGTGTCTATCGGTGCAGTAAATGAAAGGGACCGCAAAACTCAAAAGCAAACCAGAAGCCCAGGATGGAGGAGCCGACTGTGCGTAGTCTGGCGGGTACGGGGGATCTCAGCTTCACCAAAAAGGGGCGCTGTCACGGACACGCAGACTACGGGCCGGGGCGCCCAGGGGGCAGGAGGCGAACCTCTTGGCCTTTTATCTCAGTTTCCCCTGCTGCTGCGGCATCGAGGCGCGGGGGAGAGGGGGGCTCAGGAGGGGAGGCGTATCCAAGCGTCCCCAGCGAGTGCAGCTCTGATGCCCATCTCTGCCCTGAGGGGAGAGGCCTGCGGGGACGCCTCTGGCCGCCCTTCGCTCAGCCCCCAGGGAGCAGGGCAAGTGCTTCTGGGCGGTGGGGTGTCACTCTCCCCCCCTTGCTCGGGCCAGCGCCTCTTAGAACTCGGCTTTCCCCTTACAAACCACCGCCAGGGGTGGGCTCTGTCCGGACGGGCCTTGGGGGTCAGCGGGGGCTCCGCACACCCAGCAGAGGGCTCGGCCCCTCTTCCTCACGCACACGGCACTGAAGCCCAGCGGGCCGCCCTCGGAGCAGGAGCCAATGGGGATCCGCTGCCAAGTGGCTTCAAGGGATTCCTTCTCACCCGCGAGGAGGAGCTGCGGGGCACGTGGACCCGGGGACCAGAGCCTAGCACTGCAACGTGATGGTGCCTTTGAAGGGCGGCCGGGTGGCCCTTCCACTCTCACCTGGGCCCGGGCTGCTGACCGCAAGTGCTGCCGCCCTGGACGGCCGGAGACCAGCAAGCGGGTCCGCCTAACAGACTGGAGTAGATGGCGCTGTGGGGGGGGGCAGGGGGCTGGGGCCGTGGTGCTTTTGGACAGGGGGACACAACACCAGCAGAAGGGAGCCGGGCGGGGCCCGAGCGTCCCCAGCTCGCTGCAGTGTCAAGGCTGGCAAGTCCCCTCGGATGGCCACGCCATCACCGGGCAGGGCCAGGCCGCGAGGAGGTGGGGCCAGGGGAATTGTGCTGAGAGGAGGTAGCAACTGAACTAGGAGGAGGGTGGGGAGACTGAATGGGACGTCGCCCCACAAGTCTTGGTCAATGCCGCTCATCTTCAGAGCCCGTGGACAAGGCAAGGCCGGGCTTAGGGGCGGGCAGAGGTGCCCCTACGGAGCCTCAGTGCCACCTGCAGCTTTGGCAGTCGACGTACAAGAGGCTGCGAGGCTGGCAGAGCTCCAACCCGACGCCTCTTCCTGGGAGCCGGAGACACGGAGTCGACGGGGAGCCGGCAGCCTTGCTGTGCTGCACCCGGGGCCACACACGGAAAGCTGAGTGGCCGAGCGGACGTCTCTGTGGGGCCGCGGGGGCCTTTTGTCCTTGGAGGAGGGACTGGGAAGGACTCGGCCCTCAGCCAAGGCCCCCGCCCTCTCTAGGGAGGAGTCAGAAGTGAAGCCGGGAGGGTCACCAGCAGAGTGGGGGTGGCCGGAGGGCTTTCGCAGCGGAAGGAAATAGATACGAAAATGCTAGAAAGGCCAGCTATGATCTACCAACAGAACGGGGCAAACTCCCTTGCTTCTAATCACTCTGGAAGAGACAGACACGGATTTTTGTTTCTTAAGCTACTGGTTGGAACTGTCAACTATGGTTCCTGATCACTAAAGACTGGCAAGGAAGGAAAGTCTAGACATTTCTAGGGTGTTTCACTCCTTCGGGGTCACACCGCAGTGAGGAGGCCAGGGGACGAGAACTGAATACACAAGACAACACGCACTTGACGGTCCGTGGCAGCAGCTCACGTGGGGCGTGCTGAGGGGGTTCTGAAGCGTGAGACTGCTGTCTCGTTTGCTACTGCGATAAGGTACTTCTCAGTTGGACAGATTTAGATATAAGAGACATCTCTGTAAACACAGAAAAGGACATACCAATATGATGGAGATATGCAGCTAGATAAGGACTTCCTGAACAGAGGGTGAAGAGATGGGACCCCGTCACAGCCGCAGTGCTCGCGTCTCCAGCCCCCGCCCCCGCCGGTGAACCCACGGGACGGGGCCCCACCCTGCGGGCGGCGAGCACAAGGCCATCTCCCCTTCGACAGGGACTCGGGAAGGAGGGAGCCGAGTGGACACTGGCCTGGGCACGTGGGGCTCGCCAGGCCGAGTGGAGGCGCAGGCAGGGTGGCTCCACGCCCCCGCCGGGCCACGCGGTCCGACCCGACCCGACCCGACGCCGGCGCGGCTTCTCGCGCGCGCCTCTGGAGTGAAGGGCCCCGAAAGGCCCCGGGTGCGGGTGCGGGGTGCTGGGTGCGGAGGGGCGGGCGGTCGCTCTCCCAACAGGGGAGGCGGGGCTGTTGTCTGGCTCTTCAGAGTTCGAGGCACGGTGCCAGGAGGGGGCGGCCTCGGGGCTCACAAGGGCGGGGCGGGGCTGGCAGGGAAGGTTCTGGCGAGCTGACTGGCGCGGCACGGTGGCTGCACTAGGGGGAGGGGCGGAGCGGGCGAAATGAAGGAAGGCGAACGTGGAAGGAGAGAAGAGAAAGCAATCAGGAAGTCCTTATAAAATCGCAGCAAACACTTAGAGTTTCGGGGCTTCGTGGGAACCCTAGCGCTGAGCGCCTGCAGATCCAGGAGTTGTGGCACGGGCCCCTGAAGCCGCTTTGCTCTCGAGCAGGTTGCTTCTGAAGAGGGAACATGAAGACTCAATAGTGCAAATAGTTCTAAGCTGTCCCTACAGGGGTAGAATTGGAAAGTTTTGGAAGTACATCTCCCCCTCCTTCCCCCGGCCGGCACCCACCCGCGCGAGCGCGCACGCGCGCGCCACTCCAGGACGGCCCTGGGCAGCTCGGAGGACAGCCCCCTCCTGGCCGGCCGGCAGGTGCGACTTCCCCGTCCTGGGAAATATCCTTGTGGCCTGGGGACTGGGGCTGCCGGGGGCCGGGGGCCGCCGCCGGCTCTCTGGCCTCACACCTCCTTGTCCCGAGGCGGGTGGGCGTGGGGCGGGTGGGGGCGGGGCAGAGCAGAGCTGAGACCGGGGGTCCCCTCAGCTGCTCTCTGTCCCTATCGCGGGGGGAGTCGGGGGCGGAAGGTGCAGGCGTACCCTAAGAAGCCTGGTCAACAGCTTGTCTGGTCAGTAGTATCTGCAGCAAGCCTTGTTGAAGGAGCCTAGTTTAGAAAAGTGCAAAGCTACTTCTGGCCCTGGTTAGGTCTTCAACCTGACTGTGCTTGTCGGTAAGAAAAACATCCCCAATGCTCCACCTACTCCCACGCTGAAGCCACGAAACTCTAAGTTTACTGAAAGAAAAAAAAATCTTTTTTATTTCAGTTAATCGGGAAGCTTTGTCAGAGCCCTACCCATAGGAGAAGAGACAACAGCTGCCGTGATTCTTGGTGGTTTGCTGCGCGATCGCTCTGGGCCAAGTCAGCTCACTCTCTCGGTCACGGGCGTCCGGCTGTCCACAGGCTCCTCTCTGTTCGGCCTCGGCATGGAGGACGAGACAATGTCTCTGCGCTCTCCCTCCCCTCGCTGTTTGTACTTGTCTGCGGCCAGCGCGGGCTGAGTCTTAGCTGGCTCCTGGGGGCAGCCGTCGCTCTCCAGCGAGCCCCCCCGCGGCGCCGGCTCCTCCTGGCACACGCTGCTGCTCAAGTCCTGGGGCTCGGGGGGGCTCGCAGGGTCGTCGGAGCTCCGGGGCTCGGGCGGGGGCGGGGGCGGGGGCGGGAGCAGCGGGGCGGGCGCCGAGGGGAGCTCGGCGTGCTGGTGCTGGTGCTGGTGCTCCTTCTTGGGGGGCGAGGCGGCGGCGCCCGCGCGCCCCTTGGGGCTGCCCTCCTTGCTTTTCCGCCCCGGGCTCTTGCACGTCTTCAGTCCCTTGCCGCTCTTCTCGCCCAGGGTGGACACCAGCAGCGGCTTCACCACCTCCTTCACCTCGATGCTCACCGTCTCCCGGGTCTTGCGCTTCTTGATGGGCAGCACGGTCTCCTGCACCGAGCGGATGGACGGCTCCTTCACGGCCTTCTTCTTGGCCTCGGCAGCCGCCGCCGCCGCCACGCTGCCCGGCTTGCGGCCGCGCTTCTTGGGGATGGCCTGGGGGTCGGCCTCGGCCTTCCGCTTCCGGCCGGGCCGTTTGATCACCATGACCTGGGCGGACGTGGTGGCGCCCCCCGCTTCGGCCCTGCTGCCCGGCGCCGCTTGGAAAGGCATCTTGACCAGCAGCTTCCCGGGACCCTTCTCCAGGACCCTTTTCACCTGCACGCCCTCTGACGCCGCTGCCTTGGGCCTCGCACTGCCGCTCCCCTTGGGGCGTCCCCGACCTCTGCCAGTTCCTGGAGCTTTGGGAGATTTGGGCTTCTTAGGTGGTTTCTGCTCTCGCCGGGAGGGACTCCCTCTCCCCGTTACCGTGAAGTCAAAATCATTAGGGTCCAGGGAGGTGTCGCCTACCTTTTCGAAGTACGCAATCAGCTCCACTTTAGAGCGGAAAGCTTTCCCCTGGGGACTGTGGGCGCAAACGAACACACACAACGCACCGTTAGGAGCCGGCGGGGCTGGCCTTTCCCGAGCCCTGGCGGGGCCCCACCCCGAGCCCACGGAGGGCCAAGCGGGCACAAGCCTCCCCGCCCCCTCCCCGGGGGACTGTGTCCCGGAAACCCGCTTCCTCCGGCTCATGGAGCCATGGCACCCGCGAGACGGCAGAAGTCTCCAGGAGTCCAGCGCCTCAGAGCGTGACCTCCGAGTCCCCCCTCCCTGGTGGGCCCCGCCCCGCCCCGCCCCCACGACCGGTGGCTGGCACCCCCACTTACTTGATCAAATACACATCATACTTCCCAGCAGAGCGGCCGGACTTTCTCTGCTTCAGCTTGCGGGTCCAGCCCTCGGGCAGGGTGGGGTCGTCGTACATGGGGCCCCGGTCCCGGATGATGGAGCGCCGCTGTTTGGGCGAGGCAGAAGCCTCTGGGACGGCCGGACCTGACGCGGAGCCTTCCGGAGGCTCCGCAGAGTGGTGGGCTGGCGGTTGCAGGGCCTCATGCTTGCCCTCTCGCTCTTCCTTCTTGTCCTTCTTCACCTTCTTAAACTTCAGGGGCTTGTCCTTGAGGCCTTGGAGGTCCTGGTCTTCTGACTTTTCTTCCCTGAAGTGTTAAACAAGGACATAAGTTCGCAGCAGAGACACAGGGGCAGCTGAAAAGGGATCTGCGTGCCGCCCACACTGCCGCCCTCCCTCCACACTTCTGAAGGACTTGGGGCAGGAAGGAGGGCGGGGGACGGAGTCAGGGTTCCAGGCGGGCAGGGATGGGGTGTCCTTCTGGAATCAAACCCCACACCCCGGGATGTGCAGCAGCAGCCTCGCCTGCAGCGGAGCGCACAGCTCAGGAATTACTCCTGCTGGTGCTCGGGGGACTGTCTGGGACGCAGGAGCTCGAACCTGTTGGGCGTGTATAAGGCATACGCCCTCTCTGCTGTGCTACTGATCGAACCCCTCTCGGGTATGTCCTAGGGATGCTCCAGGGCAGGAAATCACTCCCGCAGCCCCCCGCCCCCCAGCGAGCCTACAACTCCCGACCTAGCCTCTGCCTGAGAGGGAACAGGGGGCCCCTCCCCACCGGAAGCAGGGACAAGGCAGAGCAACGAGGGGCAGATGTGGTTCAGTGGCAACTAGCAACCAACTGGGGGGCCCGACTGTGCCCCAACTTGCACGGAGGCGTAAGGGAACGGGTTTGAGGCCTTAGGTCAGTCATCAAGGGAGCCCTTCCATCCTGGGGTGGGAAGGGAGGCTGGGTACTGGGCTCATGAGGGCCTCATGAGTTACAGGACTTGTCTTTAGAACCACCAGTCACCGCCTGGGATGAATCTGCACCTGTCTTTCCTTTTCCAGGAAGGCGCTGGCCGGGGGACAGCATGGGCAAAGTGACAAGCGAACCCCAGCCAACCCCAACGGTTAATAAAGCACTTCCGGAGCCCCCACTGTCTGCCAGTGAGCCTAGGACTCCAGATCCGGCAGGCCCACCCAGCTGCTCCCGTGGGCGGCGCCCCTGCCAGGCTTCTGGGGGTGGGCGGGGCCGGGGGTAAGCTGGGGCGCCGTAGAGGGGAGCAGTGAGGGGAAGCCAGTCGCACAGAAGGGCCTCTGAGCGGCACCAGCTCTGTTGCAGATGACAACAATGATGACGACAACGACGAGACGACAATGCACGCAGGCACGCACGGGTTGAAGGCAGAGATGAAAGAGGATGGGAGGGGCACAGCGGTGACAACAGCTGCAGGGGGAGCAGGAGGGGGGAAGGATGATGACTGAGGAGAAAGGAGGGGGAGAAGGGGGACGGCGGAGGGAGCAGGAGGAGGGCACCCGCAGTGACAAGCTCATCCCCAGGCAACCACGGATGGCTGGAAGGCCCATGTGGGATGAGGCGACCTCAAGCCCCTGAAGAACAAGTGGGGGGGCACTCAAGAGGGGAGCAGAGGGGTCTAGGGGGTGCGTGGGATCGCAGCTGTGCCGTGTGCTCTTGGGAAGGCCGCCAACGGGGTCCCACGGAGTGGCAGTGTGGTGGCATCTTTGAGAGGGGAAATGACGTCACTCTCACTGAAGCCGTGCTGCTGACAATCAGAGCCGCCTTCACAGGCCCTGCAGCCTTCCCTCAGCTCAATGCGTGTCACCGCCACCGGGTTCTTGCCCAGGACTCCACTGCAGGCCCATGGGCCCCTCGGAGCTTCACAAGGAGGGAGTAGAGATTGGGGGGCTTGGGGGCAGGGTGAAAAATGGTCCGCTGCTAGGGAGCGGGGCGTCCGGACTGCACGATGCTGTGCCCTGCACGGCCCTCCCCCATAAGCACTCCTGTTCAGTTGTTTGTGATTTGCTGAACCCTGGAATGGTTCCGGGACTGGTGCCCATTATCCCCCTGGAGCGGAAACGGACAGGGAAGGCTCCGGAGTGATAGAAAAGATGCCAGCACCGTTGTTGCTAGAATAGAAAACATTTGATCTAGTCCTGGAGCCATGTCGTTTTCAGGCACCCTGTGCCCAGGGGGCCGAGGCAGTCTGCCAGAGACCAGTCCCGGGGTGGCCTGGCGAGGGGTGGGCTCCGGGTCCCCAAGGCTTGCCTACCGCACTGGCGGCCGAGCTACGGTTTCCTTCCCGAAGACCGGAGCCTTGTCCCCTGCAGAGGGAGCTCCAGGAAAACCAGCCAGTGGTCACCACAAAGGCAAGGGGCAGCTCTGTGCCGGGCGGACTGTCAGCCTGTGTCAAGTGGCACCTCTGGGTGCTTCAGTGGGAAGCCAGTCGCTACTGGCACTGGCACTTGGACCTGCCAGCTTCAGCCCCTTTCAAGATCTGATACGCATTAACTGGAAGCAGCAAAGCCTCTCAGTGGCTTCGGGGGCGCAAAACAGCAGTTGGGGTTCAGCTCAAAGACTGCAGTGGCCTGGATGGTTCAGTCCCCTTCGCTGACAGAAGATGCGCGGAATCCTCTTTGGAAAAGCCAAGTAAATGGGGCTGGCAGGACGGCGAGTGGGCCATGGCCTGGCCTGCTCCCAGCATGCACCCGACACCGACACACGCAGGGAGGCGGGGCAAGCAAGCGAGCTGCGCCGTGGAGAAGGGCAGCACGCGCCAGCTTGACAGGGGTGGGGGGGTTCTCCCCAGTTGGCTGCCAGGCCCCGGCTGCTCGTGACGAACTGAATCACGAAGTTCCTGTGTGACTTGGTGGTCCACACATGACCAGGCCCCCACAAATCCTGGTGCAGGAAGAAAGGGGTGCAGAGTGCTGTGGAGTGCTGAGGTACAAGCAGGCCAGAGCACAGGCTTTACACGCGGAAGGCCTCACCAGTCCCCAGTCTGATCCCCAGCACTGCAAGATCTCTGAGCCTCCGGGTTAACCAGAGAGGTGCATCCGAGCACGAGGCCCCAGTCTGGTGACGGCGAGGGGGCATGACGTCCCATCGTGGTATCCCAGCATGCGACATCCGCGACAGGCAGCTTAGACAGTCACATTCAGCGACGCTCGCAGGAACCCAGCACCTTCCCCACCCAGGGCGTGTGCTCACCCCTTCGGTTCCAGGGGCCGCGCTGTCTTCATCCTTCTGAGTGACCTCAATCCCGGGGTTTACCACCCCAAAGTGAACTGGTCGGCTGACACCCCAATTCCCCTACACCATGCAGGCAGGCTGGTTTGGGGGGCCACATCCGGCACTGTTCAGGGACAACTCCTGGCTCTGCACTCCTCGTGGGCTTGGAGGACCGTATGCGGGTACTGGGAAATGAACACGGGTCGGCCGTGTGCAGGGCAAGCACCTTACGACTGGACTCTGACTGTGCCCAAAGAGATCTGAACCGGGAACCATGGCCGAGAGAAAGACGCTGTTCAGTAGGTGAAACGCCCAGGGCCTGGGCCCCATGGGAGCCTGCCGGCTGAATACTGACTGCACTTGATCTTACTCCATGCGAGCAGGGTTGTCCAGCATCCATGAGCCTGGCCCCTTCTGCCAGACGCTAGGTCCTCAGCAGGAAGCTTTCGAGGGTCCTCTGGGCCACACAGGGATTGGAGCACCCCCTCCTTTCAGGGCTTCACGAGACATCCCGCTCAGCAGCCAGGACACTGCCATACCTAGTCATGGCTGGCCCTGTCTTCCTTCCTCGTGTCTGTGCCTGCAGTGGCCTTGCGACCCCAGAGACCAGGACCCGCCACATGGTTTGCTGTGGCACTGCCTTTGGCACTGATGAAAATGGTGGAAACGGGGGCTGGAGTGACAGTGCAGCAGGGAAAGCACCTGCCTTGCACGTGGTCAACCCGCTTTCAATCCCTGGCACCCGATATGGTCCCCTGAACCCATCAGGTCTGATCCTACCTGAGCACTACCAGGTGTGGTACCCAAACAAAATCAAGGGGAACAATGTTGGGACTTTATTTTCATTTATTTGCTTATTTTGGGCCACACCCGGCAATGCTCAGGTCACTCCTGGCAGGGCTCAGGGGGACATACGGGATCTGGGGGGATTAACTTCGGTCGGCGACGTGCATGGCAAGTAAGTGCTTCCTCCACTGCACTATGGCTCCGGCCTCCGGCCTCCAACACTGTGGCTTTAGATAGGACTAACTGGGGGACAGAAAGTGATGCCCTGGGGAGCGCAGGTGGGCACTGGCTGGTGGTCCATCTCACCCCCTTGCTCCTGACAGGCTAACACTCCTCTAGCATCTTTTGTTTCTTGTTTGGAGGCTGCCTGATGACTCAGATGACTCCTGCCTCAGTGCTCCAGCAACCACGTGGTGTTGGGAGATTGCACCCGGGACACCTATGTGCAAACCCTGGCAGAAGCCCTTTGAGGGGCCATGAGCTGCCTGAGGGCCAAGGTGCCAGAGACAAGACCGATGCACAGGTGAGCGGGCAGAATGGGACGAGAGTGACGTCCCACTTGGGGCCCCTGGGACGGAGAGCAAGGGTCTGCATCTGGGCTCTCCTCCCCACATCTCTGCCCAGAAAGGCGCTGTCTCTGCTGAGCGTTTCTTTCGGCAACTCTGCCCTTCCTCAATGAGAGTCCGCGGACGCACTGCCACTGAAAACGCACCAGAGGTGAAGAAAAGCAGGGGAGTGAGTGGGCGGCCGTGGCAGGGCCAGAAGACCGAGTACCAGTCCCGGGGGCTCCGGACCACAGGCCCAGCCCCCTTCAGTGTCTCGACGATGACCTCTAAGCAAGCCCCCTCCGAGCTGGACTCACACAGGTGAAGAAAGAAGCAGCGCACCACAAACACCTGAGGGGAGGGTTTCTCCCACAGAGCTGGACAAAAGCTGGCGGCAAACCCAAGGGCCCAGGCACGGCCAGGTGAGGAGGAGCAGCTCTGCTCGGCCCTGCCTGGCTGCGCCCTGGAATCACTCTTCAATCAACAAAGAGAAAGTGCCCTGGGAAAAGGGAGGCGGGCCTCCAGGAGGCCAGCAGACAGCTTGCAGAGGCCGCAAGCCTATTATGGGCAAGAATGAAGACCCACAAGCAGGGAGGCTGCGGAAAGGTCAAGCCCCCCTCCCCGAAGAACAGATGCCCCGACTCCCCGACGCTCTAATGAGACGTTCTGGGCGCCCAGATCTGAGAAGGCCCAGCCTCACACACAGCCATGGCCAGGAAGCGCGGCGCCAAATGAACATCGAAT